AATAAAATAGTAAAATTGAAAAAGTTTTTCGTTTATGCGAGTTTTAAATAGGATGCAGTTGATCGCTGAAATGGAATACTTGTTGTCTGGTCTAAGAGTCATTTCGTAACTTTTTCATTCTAGCAAATTTCACACATAATTCTAATCTTATCGATCATTTCAGCTTCATTTTATTACTTCGTTTTGGATAATTTGTTTGTTGTTAACTACTAGAGTTGACCATTCCTTGTCTTTTGATCTTTTTTTAATCACTCTATAGTACGTGTCAGTGTGATTAATTACACCGCAAAAGTTTATACTATTGCAGTTGTCTGGATAACATACAGAAAGTGTAAGAAGATGGTAATAATAATAATATTGATAATATTTTCTGCTAGATTTTTCTGTATATAAAGTTTCAAACATTTAGTTGATCAGTTGTTGTCGGCTACTCAGAATTTAATCATTAAAATTACTGGGGTATTTTTTGCTTCAAAGCATTTTCTATCTCACTTTAGTATCTAAGACCACTTTGAAAATATTACCGTTGTTGATGTTAGTTCCTGTTATTAACTGTTATTAATTCTAACAATTATGCATTTTCGTAATGTTTTCGAAAAATTTTCGAATTCAGTTTATGTTTGCTCGCGAGTACCGCTTAAAAGTATAGCAAATTTATAAAGTTATCGAAATGAATTTTGACTTTAGCTTTTTGCTTCTGAAGACTCCTTCGTTATTTGCTGTAAGGAACAGACTTATATAGCTTATGAATACTCTCTGCAAGAATATTCAACTTAAAATATTGAATTTTTTCTATTAAAGCATCTTTTGGTTTCTCTAATTCGTTGCTTTAATTTTAGAACTTGGATGAAATAATGTTCTTGTTTTTGTGTCAAGTAATGAGTAGATATTAGTATGAGTGTTAACTTTACATCATGAATTATGAATTAACCGTAGAATAGCGTGAATGTGTTTGTGCGCGTTGGTATGTACTAGTCTAGTGAGCGTATGCCATGATCGTGACACTGAGTGTACGATCAAAGTTTTATTTTTTTGCAGGAACTGCAAAAACGAATCGGAGTGATAGTTAAGAAAGGTTTTGGTGAGTACAGTGTGCCCGTGCACCCCCTCAGTGGCACGTTGTTTCTGCTTCAAGCGAGGAATAACTTTCTGGCTGCTTTGCTTTTAATTCATCAAAATGAAAGGTACTTTATAAATTTTGTATTTGTATTAGAAATTTTGTTCATAGCTTATTAAATCTGAAGTGCAACGCTTGGATTAAATTTTAGACATTTTTGCTCTAAAAGATTCAATCAGATTTACAAATAGGAAGTGCGTCTTATTTCTCCAATAATTTAGTATTTATTAGCTTCGTACTCTGAACATTTTATCTTTAACTTTATATTTCTAATCTTGACGCCTCTAAACTTTTGTCTATAAAACTAAATATAGATAATTAAGTAGATTTTTAGTGTGGATATCGGCAATTTAGCACTTCTTCGCACATTTCCTATAAGCAAACTTTTATTAGATGTCAAGTCGAAGTCAATGCATTCGTTTTACAACCAGTTGGTAGTGATGAGAAAAATTGGAAATTAAAGTTAGCAAAAAATTCATCGTTTCGAGAGATATTTTTCGTTACAGCTAAACAAATACTTATTAGACAACAAGAAAGCAGAATTAAAATAATAGCAACAGCAATTAGTAACTTCAGTAATAGCACAGTAAATGAGAAAAAAGAGGAAGGCTGCTTGCTGAGATAATTAACTATATTATTATTGATAAATGAGATAGTGAGTAATTATTTCAAGCGAAAAATAAAATTTTTGCTTACAGTAAAGTAGAGTCGGAACGATTGCTTATCATTCCTCATTTACATCTGATCGCAACATTACTTTCGATAGTTGCAAATGTTGAAGAGCAAAAGCGATTAGCAAGACAATCTGAATTATTTCTAACCATGGCACAGAATGTGTTTTCTAGTTTACGTGAGTGGTACTTTTTATCCTTCATTAACTTAAACTTTTTGTCTTTTTTCCTAATTCGGCGTAATTTTTTAATAATTTTTGTTCTGGTAAATTGTTGACGATAGATTTGCTAAACTTTAAAGTAATCTGAAGAAATAACGTCGTAAGTTAGATAATGCATTTTCATTATTGATTATCCAACTTAAGTTTTTTTACTTCTAAAATAAATTTTTCAGAAGATATGAATTTATTGGTAAGAAATATAACGAAAGAAGCCAAGACTTTGGTGCATGCTGAAATGTGAGTCTATAATGTTATTGTACTTTGTATGCAAAAAAAAGTTTTTCTTGCTTAGAAGTTATTAATATTATTTATCACTGCTGGAGTTTTCAATATATTTCAGTGTTTTGCTGAATTCAAACTTTGCAGATGTTCATTATTCCTTCTGGAACGAGAAAATTCAGAATTAGTGGCGGAAGTGTTCGAAAAAAATGGTTCCAATGATGAATATTTGACAGAAATTAGATTACCTTTGTCTTTGGGAATTGTGGGACAGGTGGCAACAACTGGTGAAATGATGAATGTTAAAGAAGCTTATAGGTCAGGGTATAGTAATAATTTATGATATGCATAATAGTAGAATTTTAAAAATTCATGTTGATTTCTAAAAATTTTTGTGTATCATACTAGCGTACATTCAAATTTTAAATTGCATTCATTTATATTGCCCTAATTATGCTTCTTGTGCATGAAAAGCACTACAAATTGGCATTTTTTAAAGATCGTTTATTAGATGTAATTATTTGAAGTTAAAAATTTGAGTATTATTTACGACTTCGCGAAGATTTTTTTCAGTCACCCGGCTTTTTATCGGAAAGTAGACGAACGAACTGGTTTTGTAACACGAAATATATTATGTTTTCCGATCAAGGATACTTCTGGTACGAGTTTGCTGTCTTAATTTTAAAGAAACCTCAGTCGGTTATTTTCGTTTCCCAAAGAATTAACAGCATACGTGTGTAATATTTGCATGTTATTGTAATGATAATTAATAGATTTAAAGTTCTGTTAACAATTCTGTAGGAAACCTCGTTGGTGTAGCAGAATTATGTAACAAAATTGGTAAGCCAGCATTTACAAAGCATGACGAGCAAATTGCAATGACATTCGCTGTGTACTGCGCAATCAGCATTTCTCATGTTAGATTATTTCGAAAGTGCTTGATTTTGCTTTTAATATCATTATTAAAATACGGTAAAGCTAAATGTTATGGGATAATTTATTGTTTATATAAGGTTTCATGAATGAATATGCAATGATAGTGCCATAAAGTGATATTTCATTCTTTCATTATTGCTAATTCATTGCTGAATCATCTTATATTTTGAAACTTAAAAATTTTTAACTTATAGAATTTCAAGCTTAAAAAAATTTGATAAAAAACAGTTATCAAGGTTTTTTTAAATTGAAGTAGGTTCATTTCTCTGCAAGATTAGCTTAAAACTTACTCTATACCATAAAGTAGAATAAGGTTACTGACCATAAAGTAGAATAAGTTTACTGTGTGCTATTTGTTAAGTCAATGGTTATGTTATTAGTGACAAAAACTTTTATCAAGTTTGACTTATCAAAATTAGAGTATCTTAAGACACGGTGTATAAAATAATTCACTTGTTGACGTCTTTGGTGCAAATTTATTGATATTGCAAAGATCCCTAAAACTTCAGTTGATTTTATATTGATGTAAAGAGCATTTAATTATGTGTAGGACTGATAAATCATGTAATGATTTATCAAGTTATAAGGATAATATAGCTGATAGCAATTGTGTCATATTTTGAATTGTTAGAAAGAGGAATGGGACTTATTTTCATAATGAAAGAATGATATAATAATAAAAATAATAATAACGTATTGCAGTGTCTTTTGTATAGAAAACTTCAAGAGGCACATCGGAGATCACATTTGGCTGCTGAATTATTAGTACAAGGCTCCACATTGTCGGTATGTTTTTTGAGCAGTCCTTTTAATTATGAAAATTAATAATTAAAAAATTGTAACGTGTAATTAGAAGTGTTTTTTTTTGTCTTATTCATACTGGGATTAAACATTTTATTCAAAAAATTATGATTTTATTACTGCTTTTGACTCACAAATACAGTAAGTTATAATGCTTTTCATTTTGATTTAATTGTTGCAATTGGAGATGTTTATTGATATATAGAGAACCTACTATGCAGTGGTTGCCATTATTGTTGTGCTATCTCTCTTAAAGTTCGAAATCAAAATTTCAGACAAAAAGAAGAAAAACAATAAGTAACTTCTGTATTATACAGTTTTTTTGTAGAAAGTTAATCGATATGTAGTTCTAAGAAGTTAATCATTCTACTTTTCGTGATTTTATGGCTGTAGTAATTTTTCTTATTTCTGCGAGTCTTTTTGTCAATTTAGAAAGTTGCCTGCTTACCTGCAGATTGCACCGGAAGATTTGTTACGATTAACCGTAGGTGATATACCGACAGCCACCTCATATGCTTCAGATTTCGATCATTTCTACTTTTCACCTCGTTCTATTGGTACCGGCGACACGTACGTTGAAGCTGCCTTATCTATTTTTCAGGTATATCTTTATTATTTTGTACTTGTTTAATTATCTGATAAAACTTAGGTGGAGAAAATATCTCGTGTTCATGATTATAGGACTTGGGTTTTGTTCAGCGATTTCGCTTGCAACGGCGAACTTTGGCGTGTTTCTTGTTAATGGTACAGAAAAGTTATCGTGATGTGCCATATCACAATTGGTCGCATGCATTTGCAGTCTCTCACTTTACTTATTTATTGTTGCGAACTGAAACGGCTCACAGAGCACTCAGTGAGCTCGAAAATTTTGCTCTCCTTGTTGCAAGTTTGTGTCACGATATCGATCACCGTGGAACTACCAATGCATTCCAAGTACAGTCGGTAAGTTATCAATTTCGTTTTGATATTCACTGCTTACTGAATCATTGATTTATGTTGAAGTTCTCTTTAAAATTTAGTTCTTTCTTCACTTTAAGGAAATGAATGGATGTACTTTCGATTCTTTAACATTATTTTTTAAAGTTAGTACTACTGAGATAGAATTGTGGTGCTTAATTGTGTGGAAGAGTTTGTCCAGGTATGAATTCGGGCAGCTAGTTTTGAATTAAGATTAAACTTTTCATAATAAGCAAACGCAGTAACTTTATGTAAAATATAAACTTGCAAGTAATCAAACAAGCAGTGAATTGTTGCAGCGCACGCCGCTAGCTCAGTTGTACAGCAGTGAAGGTTCCGTTCTAGAAAGGCATCATTTTGCTCAAACAATATCAATACTCAATATGGAAGAGTGTAACATATTTGTGTCATTAAATCGAGCAGTAAGTTTTTTCTAGAATTTTTTATAATGTTATCGTAAAACACACCCAACTGTCTCTACTGACAATTGAAATTGAAATTGCAGTGAAGCTGAAAATTCGTATTATTTTCGTTTTCCATTACGCGATTGTAATATGTAATATGTTCAGTATTTTGGTCAATTTTTTGTTAACAGTATAGAAATAATTTAACTAAATTTACGCTTTAAAAAAATCGTAGGCTGTGGCTAGTAAAAAAGAGGACAATTAAACCTCACTTGTTTTTCAAAATGGTCTTTTCAGCAGTTTCATTCAGTCCTGGATCATATACGAGAAATTATTCTTGCCACAGATATAGCTAATCATTTACAAAAAGTAGAAGATATCAAACGAATGACTGAAGGTAAGTAAGTCTTTCGAATTTTTGTCTAAACTCTTAATTTTTCTTCTTTTCTTTCGTTTTAGAGTTTCAATTTTGGTTTCGACATTGTGAATGCAAGAAAATCCTCTTTTATGCGTTTGAAAGTTGCAATGTCCTTTCTTTTTAATTGATTATTCTAAATTGTGATTCTGTTATGCTAATTGTCTGCAGTAAAGTGATGGCTTGCTCAGGTTTGAGGATGTTACCATGGGAATAGTAAGAGCAGTATATTTTTATTCATATGTATTCTTAATTAGTATGAAAGCTAACCTGTCGATATCGATTTATTACATTCATAAAAGCTCGAAATTATGTCAGTTTTTATTAATTATTCTTAGTTACAAATTGCATTTGGTAACATGTCATAGAGAGCGGTAAAATATGACTTTTGAAAATTTTAAGCATACATAAATAAACTTGTACATCAAATTATTCATTGCAATAGTTATACTGAATTGACAAAGCAGTAAGTATCGGTGATATTCGGAATCTTTTTCGTAACTACATATATTTATTTCAAAATCTTTTAGTATGAAAATTTCAGTTGGTTTTGACTGTACAATCAAACATCATCGATATCTACTTCTTTGTCTCATGATGACTTCCGCTGACCTTTCTGATCAAACAAAGGATTTTAGAAATAGCAAAGCTATCGCAGTAAGTTTTTTAAAGTATTTTTTGCTGCTTATAAGAGACTTATTGAAAAAGATGAGGCCGAAGATTTTTTTATGTGAGGTTTCTTAGTGAGCAGTGGAATGTTCGGTTATTAGTATTAAAAGTAAAATCTTAAAGTGTTCTTCATTTAGCTACAGTCGAATAGAGAAAATTTGATTTCAACTGTGACTAAATTTCCAGGAAAATATTTATAAGGAGTTTTTTTCACAAGGAGATTTGGAAAAACAAATGGGTAATCGTCCATTAGAAATGATGGATCGTGATCGTGCTTGTGTACCAAAACTGCAACTTGAATTTATGGATACCATTGCCGTACCTGTTTTTGAGTAAGTTTTGAGTGAATGAAAACTTAATTATTTTATAACTTGAAGATTTTCAGTAAATTATTGCTGATTTATTAAATGAAGTTTGCATAATAATTGCAGGTATTTATCACAGTTATTACCTGAAAGTAAAAGCACTTATGAATCTATGTTGTTCAATCGCAAGTGTTGGCAAGCGCTGGGGGAAATATTAGCTGAGGAGGAATATCCAGCAACAGGTCTGGAATACCTCAAAGATATTGCTCTAGAGGAGCGAGTGATCGAGCGGGCTCAGCAATGATGTCACTGTCAATAATGCAAGTTCTTGTTTTTAGTAATATGTTTTATTTTATAAACAATATTTGATTTGTTTATAAAAGGAAACATAAAAATCTCGAAAAAATACTGATAAGCAAGCTGATAAGCACTATACTGTCAGATTAATTCTATTTATCAGTTTACAATACAAGTAATTGAAGTTTATATATTTCTTACATCACTTTTTAACTAATTAGTTATGAACATTTCAGTCTAAAAAAATGCAGCAGCAGTCTTTTAGAAAGGCAAGTGATATGTAAACTTTATTTGTTAGTGTATATATATAAAGAGTATTTGATGTTAGTTATTGCAATTGTTGCAGATTGAAGATAATTTGACAACTTTTAATGTTCGTACAGGAAAAAATCTGCATCGGCACAAATCAGCATGATTGCTTTAGAATGCAGTCTTGGGCTTTCCTTCCTGCACCAAAAAATCGTGGCGTGGGGTGACATATATTTTGTTTGTTGTAATCTTAATATTATAATTTTTTATATTTTTCTTTAGAAGGCAAATCAGACTTGGACAGCATTATTTTATTGCATTTTATTTCTTATTTAGTGAGTGTACTGCTCTCAATGCATTTATTTAATTGCAGTTGCAAAAGATTTGTTTTGTTTTTTTTTAATTTTGTTTGTAGCAACTGAACGAGCTGATCAGTTACTTCATTACTATGACTTATACTAGATTATTTATTTTCAGCTTAGCTACGAAATTTGATAGTGATGATATCATGTCATATATACGTATAAGTTTAATGTAAGTAACGAGAATAGGCATAATGTTACCAGGCTCATCTATTGCTTGTTTAAATTTTCCTGAACTAAAGCTTGAATATTTATTTCTCGTTTGTGAAATCAGTGTTTTTATTCTTATAATATGTATGTATATTTTGTTCGTTTATCGGGTCGCTAATATCACAGTTATGATGATTCTCATGTAGCATTATTTCTCATTTCCATTTCATGTAATTCAATATTCAATACTTTATTTTATTGTTCTTTTTGCTGTCAATGAAGTTTTTTAAGTATAAATCTGTCATCTTTCATTGCTTTCCTTCCTTCTTCTCCGTTACTGCTATCGACTACAGTGTATGGTTTGTTGAATTCTGGCAGTTTTAATGCTACCCTTTCGTATTAGGCATTATTGTGTCTGAGGTAGTTAATGGGGAAGCAAACTAGCAGATTAAGTTCCGTAATTATCTTCACATTTATTATGAATAAGAAAGGACTAAATTCGTGTTGGCAGTTTTGCCTTTTGGGAGTCTCTTAAGCACGACTTTAATAATGACTGTTTGATTCTTCTTACGTGAAAAAATCTTTGAAATGCTAAATTTTATTGGTGTAAAACTGGAATATGTTGCTCTACGTAATATATTATATTTCCAAAACACCTTCAGACTTCAAATGGAATGCTTGTATAATCAGCTGAAAGGGATCTTCTGATCTTGTTTGCTAATTTTATTCGTAAAATCCAAATATGAGTTTCAAGACAAGAAATCCTAATGCTACGATTGAAGTAGAATTCAACTTATATTATTTCTTCTAACAGAAAACACAAAACACTTGAACCTCCATGTTTTCAATTTGAGAGGTCCTGATAACCTTTTATAGTTACCTGTATACATATCCCTTTGAAACCTGTTTCGGAGTTATTGGTCTAGTCTTTTATAGATAATGATAAAGATTGATAAACTGCCATCAACTATGGATTTTACCCAACAACAGATGATGAACAGCTACCTTTTTACTATGGATGTGACAAGCAAACTCTACTCCAAGAAGTTTCGTAAGGATTTGTGTGCGAAATGAACGCGAAGTTTGAGGTAGCATTCTAAGATGGACCTCACTTTTGCTGCTTTTACCTAATAATAACTTTTTATGATAATAACTCTTGTCAATGGAGAAAAAAGAAATGAGATCATTTAATCCTTGCTACTCTTAAATTATGAGACTAGACATGGGATTTAGAGAAAGAATTGTGTACATGATACCTACTAGATATTTCAAGTATTAAATGGATCGCATATGTATACAAGCATATAGTTACCGTTTCAAGCAAGAATTAATGTAAGCCATGAACAAAGACATAACAGTGGTGTTGAAAAACTACAAATTTTATCAAAAACACGCTTTAGGCTTATACAAAATATATAATAAAACTCAGGATATTTTTTAAAGCACGCAGGTGTTGCGCAAAACCTTCCTGAATACGAGGTAATGTGTTAAATAATATTACCTGAAAAATATGTTAGTATACAAAATCATTGACTGATCTATGAATGTGTTATCTGAACTAGCTCTTTTTTTTGAGGCTGCGAAAAAACTTCCAATAGTCAACAATGCAATAGTCGCTTCCTTTAAATATAGAAACTGTAACAAGCGTGCTCAAGTAATTCCTTTGATGAAGCAAGGAAATATACTTGTATTTCCCTGGTTTTCTCTTTTTATGATAACTAAAAACTGGAATCATCATCTACTGGAGACAGGGACAGTTTCACTTTTCAGTAGTTTCTACCTCCGGCAAATCAACTTTTTTCCCGCGGGCACGTAGACGATTATCAATCTAAAAAATATACAATATTGATAACAAAATGAAAATTGCATTGCTACAAAATTTCAAAATGGTTTTTAGGATCAGATGTGAAGACTAACCATAGATAGTTTACATTGAGCAAATGTTTCTAATAATTCAAAGCATCGACTTGGAACCGTATTGGCACGAGAATGCAAACAGTCTATCGCTTGACGATGTTCTTTTTGGACACAATCTGATTGCTTAAAATAAGATAGCATGAAATTAGACAGTTATTCCCAAAAAAGCATTACAAGATGACAAAACAGTACTAGTTCGATTTATCAGCTGGTAACTAACGAAAACTGATGATTAATAATATCTCTTCTACAACGATACAGACGGATTTAATAACTAGAAAAGTCAGCCAAAACTAGTTTCCATTCCTGACTTGGTCTCCTAAAATTTGTTCTCGGTCAAAAATCACGATATAGTAGATACGAACTAAAATAGCAGTAAGAGTACAATTACCACAGAAAAAAATCTCATCACAGAAGCCAGATTTACCACAATATTTTTGTTCACAACGTTAGTGTCAATTTTACTGGTGATAGCTACTTAACAATACCTACTTCGATTTACTCGTAAAAGTGAAATTATTAGCAGTAAAACTTACTTTAAGACACCGCTTTAGTGACTGTCTTACGTGATCACATGCCCTTCCTGGTTTTTTTTTCGGCTTGCTTTCATTTTCTTGAAGCTCTTCATCCGACATAAATTATCTGAAGACAGTACCTGATTTAATACAACCGAGACTCCGTATAGTTATTATTGGACATAACAGTAAAAGACGAGCTTCACTCCCAAGTAAGCATTTAGCGAACTAAATCACAGAAGACCATGTACTCTCTCTCCATGCGACGCTTGCCAAACATTAAAAAATGCTATTTAGAAGGCACTATAAAACATTTTCTGTATTCTCAAACACGCATCCTGCAGTTCATGAAACTATGCTTTAGCAAATCGTTCTCAAACCGGTCTTGTTAATATATTGTTATTGCTATCAAAATGGATATGTAAATTAGTCTTACTCGGAGGTCTGTTTGGTCAGTTATGGCTCGTAGAAGTTGCGTTTTCTATCATTTCTATTCCTCTCAGTATTCATTCAATTATTTTATTTAGTTTACCTTTTGTGCGTATTTTCCAATACATTAAAAGTGGCCAGTAGTCAGATTATAAAAAATGAACAGCCACAAATTCTTGCTTACTCGTACTTGCTGTTTTCTTTTTATTATTGTTACTTTACTTACGTAGGGATGTAAACGCAGATTTAAATTATACATGAATTTTAGCTGGGATGACAGAAGAGGAGAAAGAAGTGGATAAGGCAGAAAAATTTGTGGTAGAAGAAGTCTTAGGAGAACGTTACAACAGAAGAAAAAGAGTTAAGGAGTATTTGTTGAAGTGGAAAGGATATAGTGATGCTGAAAACACGTGGGAACCTGAGACTAACTTGGTATTATTCTGCTTTTATTTATTGTTTTACATTGTTATTTAAGCCAAAATTAACGTTCTTTGTCTATAATAAGATAAATTTTTTCCAGTAAAAGATGAGATTACCGAAAATGTGGAAAAATATTATTTCTTGATGCACTTAAATTTTTTCAAATTCGAATTACAATAAATTTTTATTTTCACGTGCATGTAGGCTTGTGTAATGCAGTCCAAGTATTTGATAGTGATCCAACATTGTTTTCAAATCGTTATGAAAATGGAAAAACATTTATTTTTCCTTTTTCATCTTTTTCTTTTCATTCTATATCTCTATGTTTTGTGAGTGAGGGTACAGATGATCGACATTTCAGAACTTTGTCATGGATGTAACTTAAATATCGTGAGTTACAGGACTTGTTGATAGTTTTTAAGTTCTTAAAGGTGACAGTTGTTTTTCCGAAAGTCGATACTTTCTGAGTTTTTTCAGGATTGCGATGAATTAATTGCAGAATATCAAACCAAACAAACGTAAGTTACTTTTAATATTTTTTATTGAGGATAATTTGTCTCTTTTATTGCCTAGAATTTTCCAGTTCTTTAGTGTGACATAAACTAAGTTTTCAATTACTCATTTCAGTTGATTTCATAATTTCCCTTTGTAAAATATTTCACTAATAAATAGAGTGATGCTGTCTAGAATTTCCTTTTTTCCTTTTTGATTCATTTCAGAGAAAGTTGGAGTAAACAGCGAACAGAATTGTGGCAAAACTTATTAGATTCTACTGGTTGCTCAGCGGAATCGAAGTCATGGAAATCTTCTTTCTCTTACCATAAAAATTGTGCTGAAAATTCTGGTTCTGTGTCTAAAAAAAGTCAAGATTCTCATGCATCTTCACCAGTTTCTGTATCGTCTCCAACTCAGCTTTCATGTTCATCTTGTTCCTTGAAACGAGAAACTTCTTTCGTTTCGACTTCAAGTGAGAGTGAAGATGGTGAAGAAAACCGCATGCGAAGAAGTCTGTTATTTTTTTTACCAATTTCTGGAATACATAATACCAAGATTTTCTGAGCAAAAATTTGACTCTTCTAAAAACTAATATAGCAAATTGTATGCTCCAGATTTTTTGGGTTCAGTGTGTTTCAAAATAATGTCTAGTCTTCATTTTATTTTCAGTGCGTCCACCTCCTGGTCAGAGCGGAATAGAGAAGGGATGGATCCCAGAACTGATCGTCACAGCTTGTGTATGTTGTATGACTATTATTTTCACTGCATATAAGTATGTTCAAATTTACAAATTCACATTACCAAAATTATTGAATATTACTAAATAACTTTACCTCATTAAATTCGCTTGAAAAAAGGCCTCCTCTTCTATGCATTCCTTCATTGGTTTAATTCATGTATTTTTTTTAACTATGCGAAATTTGGTACTGATTAGGTGATGAAATTTTCAGCGTCCGGAAGGAGACTTTCCGCTTACATATATTGTTAAATACAGGCATAAAAAGAAGTTCGAGAGAATACCAAATACAATATGCGCTAAATACTGGCCACAAGTTAGTTGTCAACATTTAATATATTTGAGGTATCTGTATGAAAAGTTAGAGAAAGAAAACACGAAAATTATTTTTTAAAAAAAGTATAAAGATTGAGTTAGCACCGAGATTTATCAAAATAGGGAATGGTAAAATCTATTCTGAAAATATACCAGAAATTAATCGAAAAATAATTGAAGTTGTGATAAAGTCCTTGTCAAGGATGTAGAAGAGAGCACCCCTCCTGTACCAAAACCAGGTACCGGCAGAACGAGTACGATCGGAGCACTCATCAGTGGAAAGGAAGTTTCACAGAGCACTTGGTCAAATTGTTGAAAGTGGTTTTTGACCGTTTTAAAAAGATACTGAAAAGGCTTGGACCTTGTGTCATTTCGTGCATTGCGAGAAGTTCATGTGTGCATTTGATGTCTAAGAGCTGAAGAAGCAAGCGAATTTGGCAGTCACTAGTATTGCAGGTCTGTGGTCTCAGAAACGGTTACTGGAAGAGTCAGCGAAGCGTATCAAGGCACATAACACCTACGTCGAGCAGAATGCGTAGCACGAGTTTACGGTTTAAGTGGGTGTAGAGCAGAAGTATCTACTGACAAGGACTTTATCATCTGATGCAAAATTCATGGAACGTAAGATAAACTAAACAAACTGGACCTGAAAGTCTTGTAGAACATTGATCCGCTTATACTTAGAGCGGTGAACCAAATGGCTGATGAAATATGCAACACAGAATCCCCCATAATCAGTAATTGATATAGTAAGGCAACAGATGGTACAGCAATGTTATCAAGATATGACAAAGCGAGAGAAGATGTCGGGGTGGCAGGCAAGCATAGGAAAGAAGTTTGAGTAACTTCCACAAAACCCTCGCAGAGTGGTGTTTGACCAGTAAAACACTTGAAGATAAAAACCTGAGGAGGCTAAGAGGTGTATATAGAGCATCAATTGTTCTCAAGCGTTACTATCATGAAGTTTTGATAATCTTGACTGAGCTTGTGATAGTTCACGAAAATCGAATTGGAAGTTATGATCCTGGTGTGCCTGTGTCAAAATCCAAAACGGCAAAGTTGAGCTGTTTGTAATTATCTTTCCAGAACGGAGGTAATTCCGTGTATAAAATAGTTATATCTACCATGAGGGCAGCGATTTTGAAGCAGGAGAAAACTCATAGTACGTACTTAGCAATTATTGTACCCTATCTAAAGACTAGGGACAACCTGCAGGAAATCCTACTGTTGAAACGTAATAGCAGCCCAGAAAGCACTGTTGTATAGTGAAATAGAAAAGTCATCATGCAAAGATACAAGATGTAAACGAATATTAGTTTTATTGCACGAGTCCATAGCTGATTCATCAATATGGCTACCGTACGAAAATATTATCCCGCCAGATGGAACGCGATTCTGTAATTTTCAAGATAGAAATATGTTTGGAGTTGGACTTATCTGAAATACACAATGTGCCAACATGACTCTTGCTCTGGGAACACGGGAGTGTCAGACCATGCATGAGCGGACGCCATTGACAATAGTGTAAAAAGAAATCAATCCTGGTCTCATCATTATTATTCTTATCATTGTGTTTCATCATTATTATTCTTATCATTGTTATTAAAATCACAAATTAAAATTATTAGTGAGTCAAGTAATTTTTTTTTAGTTGGTGATCAATTTCTATGAACGTGAGATGCGTCGATATGGAATGGCGGTGGATGACGATAATTTTTTGCCTCTCTAAATTTTTATTGCTTTTCATGTCTTTAACTTGTTTAAAATTTAACCCCTGGTTTTTAATGCTTGAGATCAAATTTTTAAGTTGTTTTTTGAAAATATAATCTTATCATTTCTGGTTGTGCCATTTTATTCAGTTCTGTATTTTTTATCAACATGATTAGTTTTATAGCTTATTTATGAACATGTATCCATCAGTTTGTAAGTTCAAATTATTTGTAATTTACTGCGTTATTTGCTGTATTGGTTAATTCTTGAACCAATTTTTCGGTAACATGTTTCGTTCTTTTGTCTTTTCAAGGTTTTATTAATTTTACTAGTCAAAGCCATATGAATAATCGTTCGCGAGTGTGGGGAGCTATAATGATTTGTAATGAAATCTATGTAAATAATCTGTGGTCTAAAAATTAAGTTCAGCTCCGCTCAGCGCACTAGTATCTCAGTAATGTAATGCATTGAAGGAAAATTTTTGAGGGGAAGAAGTAGAAAAGAAAAGTGGTGTGCATTAATTACTGGGGTACACTTATGTGGTAAATCTATCTGTGTATACTATATTATTTAGCCTCAACTTCATATACTCAGCTAATAATTTGTTCTGAATAACGAATTAATGGTCACATCAGCTTGCATGGCACACCTTCTGCATTTAAAATAAACGTGTTTTTGTTGCAAGGCGGTTGATTACTATTCTACACTAAAGGAATGTTCCTTTCGTTCTATATACAGAAATAAAAAGTCTTTTCACTTTTTCCTTTCATCTTTTATCATGTTCTTTGTATGTTATCTTTAATCTAGGGAATTGACAGAAGTGTATCGTTTGAATGTCGGTGTAGTGTTTCTTTTGAGTATTTTGGAAAATTTTACTTTTGACTTTAGCGTGTTTCATGTTGATGTAATGGAAGGTTTGTTTTGAAAGTATTATTTCCTATTGTTTGACTTGAACCAGTCAACTATGTAAAATAGCGTTTTAGCTTTATTTTTGCAGTCATAGTTATATTCTGTATCTTACCAAGGAGGAGAAATATGAATTGGGCTTCACTGTTTTTGTCATCTGTCCATGCAGGCAAAGGTTTTTTTAGGATAAACGTGAAGGTTGATCATCTAAAGGTCTTAGAAAGTTACTAATTGCATTAGTCCTCAATTTTTCATCTAGAAGGCAGTTTTCTTCAGAAGTTTGTGGGCAGTGGCGAAAGCATCGTTGATTCAGTAATATGAATGCGAAGGAGAAGAAATCTGTGAGTAAAATATGCAGGTGAAAATTTATTCTGGAATGGAAATTATCGTCAATATTTCTGTTATTTCATAGTTTATAGTTTATTCATCAAACAACTATATTAAGCTACAAAGTAATGTCACATATTTCGGAGGGAAAAATATTAATAAAGATTTAGATGGCCATGTGAACTGCAAGGAGTTGTTGTTGATTTCCGAAAAAAAAAAATAGTTGTTTCTATTGTTTCACCAACTTCCGAGGCAGATTCATATGAGGTTAGTTATCCGATGTTTGATGAGGACCGAGTTTAGTCAGCATTGTTTTAGTTTTAAAAGGGATAGTTTGCTTCTAAATATTGTCTGGAAATGAAATTGTGTAAATTTCATATAATGCAACATTTCATGCGAGTATTAATACTTTTAGATCAAAGTTAAGGATAGTGTTATACTACCGGAAGCATTGAAAATGGGGACATGGGTGATTGTGTACGTTTCTAAACCGAACGTCTACCAGATTGTGCGACAATGCAAGGAACTTCTACCCACATATATTCATAGGGAACTTGTCCTTGTGAGGATAAACTTAAAAAAATTAATTTAGTTTTCGATTGAGAAGTATTCTTCGTTTGTGGTCTAGAATAGTTTAATAATTTATAATAACCAGAAAAGTTAGAGGTTTTTGTGTTCTTATTTCTTTAGATCTACACAAATAGAATTATTCGAGCTCACATACACTTTGAATATTCTGATTCCGAGCCTCTATGTTCTAAATGAGGGACTTGTTGTTCTTTAAATATAATAAATACTCTATAATTTTTCAGTCACCTCAACTGGCAAATTAATCTAGTGATAGTTTTTTATTTTTTCGCTCTGAAATCAAAACAAATTATCAATCAAACAAAGCAGTTTTGTTTATTTCTTCTTTCATTTGGTCGTTTTCATGTCCGATTCATCTTTCACGTTTTTCAGCGTTTGGAATTGATAGGAAAAGAGTTGTTTTTTTTTTAGCTGAAAACAACTGTACATTTTCAAGCAAAGGGAGAAAAAGGATACCGCAGATGGGTTCGGGCACCGCTGTTGGGAAGAGTAATGGCTGTAATCCACGAGCAATATAACGCAAAGCAGACATATTTTGCATTGGTGGCGAGGTAAATTTAGTTTTATTAAGTTGCTTTTTGTTCTGTCACTCAATTTTTCTTTGAAATCTATAGTGGTTTGGTCATTTACAGAAGGACAGCTGTGTTCAAAGCTTTTGTGAAACATTGCTGGATACTCACGAAATATGTTGTGCAGATTGAATCCCAGATACCATTTGAAACCGTTTGTCACTTTGCTCTCATTCTAGTGTCTTATGTAATTAATTTGCTTATTGCAGGTTTTTTTTATCTCAATAGTTTTTAAAGGCTTGTTAGCTTTCAGATATTTGGAAATTTTCTCAATCAATGTGGACGGAGTAGTATTTCAGATGATCATAGTCCTGTAAATTCTGACGATGTTCAAAAATTTCGGAATCAGGTGCAGCTATTTAAAGCTATAGAAAAATAATAGAACTATATAGTTTAAGCAATAAATTAAAGAAAAAACTCCATGGTCTGATAAAATGTAGTGAATCTGCATTTTGTATTATATATATTTGGGACTCTTATCCATTTTATTTTGTTTTTATTTTTTTTAAATCAGATTCAGAAGACACAATTTTATCAAATATGATAGTTTGATTCTATGGAGCAATTATGCACATCATATAGATATCAGAAATGAAAGAAGAAGATCACTTGGCTGGCTGTATCATATCTCAGAATGTGGGTCAAGTTCAACAAGAAACTGTTACGAACAGTGTGGGGATGAAGAATTTGAAGAGTATCTCAAATAATGATGTGTCAACTGATTTTATTGCTCACGATATAATATTTTTCCATGGAGTTGTATCAGTACTAAATGATTCGTTGGTTGTGGCAGGATCACATGGTCAAATTGGATATTTGAAACACATGCAGTAAGTTCTCCCGTTCACTTTTTCTATTTTGACCGAACCAAGACTCAGAAAAGATTAATATTTATCAGTTAACCTGGTTTTTGATCACTGATTTTCCATATACAAATGTTCATGAAGATTTTCGTTTTCTGTTAGTGATCTAATGATGACATTCGGTAGTGGGATTTACTACAATATTTCGGTCATATATTTTAAGCAGTTAATGTAATGCTGCAGTGTGATGATTTTGTTTATCATGTATTAGCAAATTAAGAGATCAGCTAACAAATAAGGAGCTTGATGGTGGTTTTTTAATAGATGTGGTAATTCATCAGAACCTGTCAAAGTGGGGGACTGGTTATCAGTAGCAGTTGAATTAAAATCAGGTAGCGATCGATGTTACGTGTATGAATCGCCGTCTTTAATTGCAGCAAAAGGGATAACTTCTGTTCGAAATAATATTGTTTTAGTGGGTTGCTACTCCACTTATTTGCAGGAAAGTGAATAATTTTATCCAAATTGAAAATATTTGAGATAAATTATTCTAAAGTATGTTTTTGTTTTGTAAAGTTTCTAATCAATTCTTTTTTTAAATTAATTATGTCTCTAAATCAAAAATAGATTAGTGGTATGCATGGAATTCAGCATTTTTTAATAATGTGATCGGGTTACATTTCTTATATTTTTATATTGAAGTTTGATTATGATTGTGGTTCTTTTCTTCGTTACATTGGTTTTTTTAAATAGGTTCAATCGAAAATTGAAGTCAGTAATGTAGAAGGTGACACGTTCTATGGAATTTCTCCGATTTTTGGTAAAGTTATTGGTAATGCAACTCTTATTGGTGAAAAAATAGAGTGTGTTGCATGGTGCACTCCTCGGGCGAGCTCTAATTTTCATTTAAATTGGCAAGCTGTGGAAATTGTGGAAACTTCACATACAGTTAGTTCAGTCTGTATTTTCAAAGTGAATTCTGTCTTCAAAACATGAATTAAGAGTAGACATTTCTGTTAACTTTTTCTAATGACTCTTAAAAAACTTTCATTAGTTAAAATGATTTTTCCTTTTATCATATACGAGTCGCAAATAATCCTAATAATTTTACTTTGTCTCGTAGGCATTTTTGTTGCAAAGCTTGCATAAAACTCTTAGTGAAATAAATGTCTTCTTAGTTGTCGCAAAAGGATGGATTGCATGTCAAGCATAAAATGGACAGTCGCAGCAAAACAGAAGTATCCTGCACTGATGCTGGAAGACAGTGTCATCAGGTCGCAAGTAATTTAGATCTATTGGACAGAAATTCCGAAGCAAACAAGTTTGAAGTATTAAATAAAAAAAAAACACTAAAGATGAAGCATTTGTGGTGTGTTAAAGAAGCAGTGAATAAAAATCCCTGATTCATCTGATAATATAAGAAGCGCCATTTCGGCCAGAAAATTACAAGTTTATTTTTCTGATCTCTATAATTGCTTCTTTTGATATGTGATATTGAAATAGCTGCTTTCAGGAAATGAAATCTCATATTTATGATGCTATAACTAAGGTGGTATCAAATCCAGTGGTTAGAGAGGCAATGCAGAAGTATCGGCCGAAAGAATTAGAGAGCATTTGTGAAACTCTAGGCTTAAAATTTTGATTACTTATTTGTAAGTGGTACTTTATTATCAATACCTCGTTTTAATTAGTATCAATACCTCGTTTTAATGAGAAATGGCTAAAGTATATCTCATTTACTGATTTATTGATAGGAATGATCAGTGAAATATGAAAAAAAAACATTTATGAAAAAATAGAGCAGATGTCTATTAATTTTTGTTTTTATTATGACTGAAAGTCCCTCTATAAATGTTTTTGTAGTGTCTGTGAAATTACCAATTTTCCTAGATTAAAAGCGAAAAATTCACCGGTTACTAGTTTAGAGTACATTTTTCTTAGAATTGTTTTTTAGATAAGGCAGAATGAACTGACAAAGTGAGAACACGTTTGATTTACGAACACATGTAAGATAGACGTTTGAATTACTGTAAGGTGTACATGAGAATAGCACCAGTGTTGCTTATTTCGTTGTATATCTTATTTGTGCTTACATACATCCTTTTGCTTATTATGTTTCATATTATTACCTAAAGTACCTTTGCTGCGAGTAGAAGGCAAAAATTTCTTTTTTTTCTAACCCTCAAGTGTAATGAGGAACGAGAAATGAATTACAAGCCTACTTTTGAACTTTTAGTCTAGTCAGTCCTGTGCACTCTGGTTTAAAACTTCTGATTGCGTCACATTAATCTAAAGCTTCTTATAGTGTTTTTGATGTAATGTTTAGGTGTATGATATCGCAGTTATCGAGAATGGAAGTCATTGTTTTTTGTAACTTCCAAACAAGAAATTGAGGTACTCTAACATACAGAAGCATTGAATAAAAGTTCTCAAGAGAGTTCATAAAGTTGGAGGTTGTTGGTACTACTATTCAGTCCTCTGCACTCTGGTCTAGAACTTCTGATTGCATCACATTAATCTTGTTGCAGAGAAATGATCTATTGCTACCACCAGCGAAAACAGCTTGGCATAAATAGGACCATGACTGACCAAATAAGACTACGAAGTGATAAATCACGCGAAAATGGCAGCTAACGAATTTTTAGTTGGTAGATCAGGTTAAGCTGAGTGCAATGTAGTATAAGATACTCATTGGGACAACCTGTATTCTGTACGTCGACCAATATTTGCCCAGCTCATATCGTAGAGTAGTAATTAGTGATGAACGTCTAGTCTGCTTATGAATACCTGTGTGGATAGCTCACAAAAGTTCTTGGAGGTAAATCGGTAACACCTTCAAAAAATTCATGTAGTGAAGAGTTCTTGCAATCTTTTCGGTCAGTCATTGATTTGACTAGGCTAGTACAGAACCTTGCTGACATTGATTTTGTACTTCTAATCTCTCCTGCATAGTCAATTTTTTTAGAAAAAAATCTAAAATAACCAGTATATAAAGGTTGGGGTCCACATCTCAACTTTTATTTGCTGGTCATAGATTCGAGATGAGCTGATTTCACTGTGCATTAGTGATATATCAATACGGTTTGAAAAGCTATCACTGCGTTAACATCGGTCGCTGAATTGTAGACAGGTTTCTGATATGATTGTTGCATGGGTAGTGAGCTCCTTCTTCTATGCAGTTATAGTATTTATTCGTCAGAAGAAGCTAATCTTTACATTATTCAAGAGTTAACTATTTTAGATCTCGAGATTTTGTTGATTAGATCGTGAAGTAGAACAATGTCGTCAAGAGATCTATCAAAAATGACTGTTAGTGGTTTCATATCAAAAAACCTTTTATACTTGTTTTATTGCTATTCACAAAATAAAATATCGTTAAAAGCAAAATTTGAGAAGAAGAGTTTGGAATAGTCTTAAATAGAATTTATGCTTGTTTCGCATTTGTATATTTTGGCTTTGGTTTAGTTTTTGTATATGTGGATTACAATTCCGATCATATTTTTGATATTGTCCAGACTGTCGAACATATTTTGTCATTAGTTATTTAACGGGAACCCATGAATAGGTTGTGCAACTTCGTGAACAGTTGCGTTCGCGTGGTCTCATAACAGATGGAACGAAAGCTGTGCTGATTGAACGTCTCAAAGGGAGTTATGCGGTAGAAGATAAGATATTAAATATAGATTCTACCGCCTCCAAAGATTCTTTAGGTCATTGATTCATTGCATAAATTTTACTGAGGAGTCTTCCTAGTATTTTTATCACAATAAAATATTGTATAAAAAATTTATTTAATCCGTGAATTGTGTAGATAAAAAAAGTTTCATTTTCATGAAAGTTTAATGAAGATTAAAACAGGAGCAGAGTCATAATTAATGCTTGCAGTACTTGCTTTTTAATAAACATATTTAAGCTTTAAAACTATGTTTTAAACTTATTTTTATATGTTTGTTCTTTAGAAGAAACAGTGCTTGAGGGTTCAATAAATGAGGACGATATTCTTGGTCCGGACACGTCAGTTAAAAAAAAGGTTTGTTTTGAAGTATACATTATAGGTTTCGGCTTAAAGCAATGTTTTTTCGTAAGCATCATCTAGTTAATTTGTTAGTTTTCTTTGTTTTTGAAATGGTGGTTCAGTCTTCATTTGGCGAGAGTATTTAGTACTAAGGATTTGAAACTAAGATTTTGTTTCTAAGAAGGGTGTTGGTCATGAACTGTTCATTAAGATAATAATTATTTGCCCACCATTTGGTCAGTTTGTGCTGTAGTCTCTATTTATTTCCGGAATTTTTCATGTTGATTGTTTAGGAAAATATATTGCCTGTAGTGGTACCCTCAGCAACTAAACCTGCTTCACCAGTGGTATTTGTAGCTAAAGAGTCCAAAGTTGCACAAAGACCTGAAGGGAGTAAGAAATCAAAGATGGCAGATAATTCACTGGATGCTAAAATGAAACGAGCTCAGCGGTTTGGGTTGCCTTTGTCAGATGAACAGTTGAAACAGAAACGTGCAGAGCGGTATTACCTTCATCCTATGTTTGCTTCTGGTTTCTCAGCATTCCATGATATAGCAGTTTTTAGCAAAACTCACTCCTTTTTGGCTAAGTGTGGAATTTAGTCCATATTGAATTTTATATATCATTATCACGCGGAAGTCAATCTTTTTTTTTGCATTATTGAGTCTGACACCCTATCTGCATTCGTCCCGCGCTGAGTCCTGCTGTTCTGGTCTCTGTTGTTTTATCTCGTCGAATCCACGGCATTCATTGAAAAGGTGCTTTCGAGCATCTTGAGCACTGTTGACTTAATATATGTCTCGATGGAATTAGATATACTGGTTCCTCCGCGTAACATTTATGGAAGTTCATTAGTAATTGTCTGGAATCCGTGATCTATAGCATTGAAATTTTCTGGTTCCAATTTAGTGTCATAGTCTATTAAACTTAGTGCTTGCTCACTCACTACCTTGGTAATGTTCTGGTCATGCAATTTTGTCTAATTGCTAAATTTCTTACTAAAATCTCTGGTCGGACTTTATCTTAGTTTTTTATGGATAAGTGCACTAATCCTATCTTTCATTATTCCAAGGTATTTGTACTCTTGAGTTCCTTCCAACAGCACCGCTTTATCAGCGCATACCTCAGGTGGCTAGCTTTGCTGGATTCACCCCTAATTTTATAGAAACCTCTGAACTTTTTGACCATGGATTTCATGATTTCTTCATTGATTGCAACTGTCTTAAAATCATCCAGAAGCAGTAAATGGGTTGTTATGTTTTTGTTCGGCGGGAACCACTACTTGCGTACTTTTCATATTAAGCCGATGAAGGGTGGGCTTGCTTTCTCTTAAAAAGTCACCTGTTGCGTGTAAAGTTCTACAAAATTGCATCCCCATCCATTAGATAATTGATCTCATTGATTGCTGGAAATTTCTGCATCCTTCGCAGAGCTTTTGTCTGCAACATCATTTTGTATTAACTATTATGATTCCGGATGCGTTCATTCTGCCCTCCCCCCCGTCAGATTTTTTATGTTCTTCTTTAAATCATCACAGCATTTTTCTACTTTTAAGTTCCAACCTTATAGCAATATTTTTTTTACTCCCTGCTCATCCAGTGTTTATCTCCCCTCTTTACTTTTTTCCCTTGTTTTGTTTTCATTCCTTCAAAAGTACTACAAAGAAATTGCATGAGCATAATCATTATGGTCCATCGCTTCTTTTCGCTTCTTGAAAGTCACCTGTTGCGTGTAAAGTTCTACAAAATTGCATCCCCATCCATTAGATAATTGATCTCATTGATTGCTGGAAATTTCTGCATATGATTGCCATTTCTACCGTTCTTGCATTTTTGAATCCTGACACCATGCTTTTGTTGTTGCTTCTGACCCCACTGCTATTTTGATAAAAAATGGAATAAAGATAAGATACAGGAACCAGATACTTTGAAGGAACAGTGTTTTGCTTCCAGGATTGGGCAAATTCTGTTGTCTACAATCATTTCAAACCTGAGTAATATACCCATCTGTAATGATATTTCTGTTTTCATGTGTAAATTTCCTTCAAATGATTAATGTCCTTTTTTTCGAAGGTTTGGCACCCGGCCAAATGAGGCCGCCAGTGCTGCACTAAGCCTCGAAGAAAGAAAGAAAAAACGAGCTGAAAGGTACTATCTGAAACTACTGTTTCGTCTTAGAATCTTAGAATTTTCAGAATTTCAAAACTATAATTTTTTCTCGCCACTTTTTCAATATTGTCTGTAAAACAAACAATATTGTTTGCAAGACAAAAATACATTGAGAAATAGGTGAAAAGAAAACAGTTTTTGCTTGTTTGTAAAACGCTTTCTGGATTTCATGGAAATTGTATTAAATTCTAGGAGGTATGTTATTTTGCAATTGTAATTTTAAAATTGATGGCGATTTCTGAAAATTTTTTTCTCACAGAAAGATTAAAAAATTAGCTACAAATAATTTATAGATTTGGTTTGATGAACGAAACACTAAAAGATTTAGACATTTTCGACAAAAGGGCTAGAAGGTATTTACTAGAAGTTAATTTGGGAGCAACTTTTGTTCTAGACGGTTTCAATCATTTTTAGCCTTTTTTATTCTTGGCTCCAAAATTTTTTATGTGCATGCCATTGGGTTTTTTGCTTTTGGTTTTTATTTATTACAGATTTGGTATTGATAACAAGAAAGATACAGGTGATGTTGATGAATCCAAGAAAGTTTCTGTTGAAGTATTAGAACGACGTGCCAAGCGTTTTGGATTGTGTTCAGAAGAAGCTGAGGTATTTTTTTCGGTGGAAATCAAGAGTATGGCGCAATTTCATCTCACAGTGTCTTTTAAGTTATTGAAGTATTAGATTATTAAAAATTTTATAGGAGCAGTGTACCATAGTAAAGTTTTAGCGGCTTGTAGTAGTGATTGTTTTGACGTAGCGAGGGCTTAAAATTCGCATATCAATAAATTGTCATCAGGATTTTTGCAGCTGGAGATTAAGAAACAGCGACGTGCAGAGCGGTTTGGATTGAATAAAAACTAAAGATTGATGATATTCAGACAAACTTTTTGTGAAACATCCGTGATATATTATGTATTATATTATTTGTGGAGTGGAATTTTTAATGATCAACTTTGGGATGGATGAAAAAGTGCAGGCCATTTGCATAACTTTTTAACCGTAAATTAGTATTGTTCTCAAGATTCCACGCCGTATCACAAAAAAGGTAAAATGATAATTCATTATTCTACTGTTTTCATTGTTGCATTTTATAAAATTCAAGCTGTTTTCTATAATCAGTACACTCCCGTGGATTTTTTAGCAATCCTTTATTGCATGTGAAAAGTGTCTTGTAATGGTAATGTGAGATTTGCTATTTTGCCATAAAAAAATTTGGAACAGCTTTGGTTTCACAAAATATGGGAAGATTCCCTGCAGTACAGGGCTATGCATTCTAGAATAAATTTTAGTTGTTTTTGCTTGAGTACGATCATTTAATTCACTATAATACGATGTATTTAAGCTACTTCGTTTCTTTAACGTTTGAACATCAAGAGTGCCAACGTGAAGTAAGTTGCTTTTTGGAGCGCAATATTAATATTGTGCAGGCTCAAATTGTGAGTCGTTTGTCACGTCTAGTACCGGTTTACTGATATTTCCGTAAATTGATATTTGCATTTGTGCTTCTCAGTAATCACAGGTTATGGCTGATGAGGAAATTGAAATACTACAAAGCATTTATGGCACTGATCTTGTTGTTGGAAGAAATACGGGGCAGAAGTAATATTTTTATTCAGCGTAAAGAGCATTACTCAGTCTATCTAGCTGTATGTAAGTTGTAGTTCCACAGCGAAATAAATGACTGCTCTGTCATCGTTGCAGTCATTTGGTGTGTGGCTTATGTATTGACTTAAAGGTTGTAATATTCAAGTATCGACTTCGCACTCGTTTTATTACTGTGAACACTAATATTTGTATTTCAGTTGGTCGGATATAGTGTTAAGCATGAAAATAGTGCCGATCTTATCCAAATCGAAATGTGTTACAAGTGTTCGTACTGTAATTGAATTATCAGAGCAGGTGAATTGCTTTTAAATACCAAGTACCTGGTCAAAAAACTGTTAGTTTGCTGTAAAATTATTAAACGACACAGATTTTATAGAAGCACACATTCTATCTGCTAGTTAACTAATTTAGTATCCAAAAGTGCCACCAAAAGTTTATTTGCGCGAACCACGAGGATTTGATGAGAACAATCTTAATATTCTTGAAAGAAAAGTCGAGCAGCATATCGAGAAGAACAGTGAAATGCATATCCTTTATGACATTTTTCAAGTAATAAAATTCTTTTGTAATATAAATGAAGTTTCTTTATAAAACTGGTACTCCTCCTGATTAATTAAAATGATGGCAATTCCCATTTTTTTATTTTAATTTATGACGTGTTCACTATTGATGTATTTATTTATTTTCTTCGTTCATTCTACAGTGTTTTCAGATGGTAAAGGATTTTCTACTAGACGAACAAAATGTTCCGTGCTCTTTTTGTCCAATATGTCTGAATAAATTTAAGGATGGAACTACCATCATTTGCACTCCTCAGTGTAGTCATTATATTCATTCTCATTGTTTTGCTCGATATGTGGACCACTGGAGAGGTCAAGTTGCAGCCGAACTTAATCAATGGCCATTAGATATGAGGTCCAAGGTAGATCAGGTTGGTTTCTGTTTTACTTGTGGATGTGGTGCTTAGGGGTTTATAGCCTTTTTTTGATTTGTGAGAAGATATTTTGGTCGTAAAGATCATGAACTGCAATGACTTTTGTTGTATTTTTAGCTATCGAGAGATATTTAAAGGTTCTGAAATGCCCTGTGTGCCGAGAGCCAATTGATCAAAATGAATTATCGGAAATTAAAAAAGTACCGATTAATTTGAATAATGATGACGACGATGAATTCAACTTTAACTGGGAAGAATGGAAAAAGAAGCTTAAAGAATTACAAGTCCTTCTTGATCATCAAAAAGCTAAAGGTGGATTGATTGATCCTGAAGAAGAGCGAAAACGTTTTCTTATCGGTGTTGAAAGTGTAAGCTCGCATCATGTTCAATTTTCGTTAAAACCATATAGAGTAACGTTATTAAATATTTATTTGTAATGTTAAAAACCGTTATAAATTTGAACACAAGTATTTATTTTGAAAAATTAACGGTATATCATATTGTGCCTTTACTAAGACATTCGTAGTAAAAACATTTACAGGTTGAAAGTGGTTTTAAAGTTTCTGGCGAAACGATTTTTTTGATTTTGCAGATAGTTTTTTGAAATGTTTACAAAATTTTCATATCTTTTTACACTTAGTTACTGATGTAGGTATCTGGAGGCTCATCTATAGGTGAATCATCCGAACTGGAAGAAATGACCGAATTAATTCAAGAGTCACCAACACAGACATCAAGTCGTTATTTTAGTCACTTGTCTCACAAACCTGTGAGGAAATGTTCTCATGCAATATTTCATTGCCGAAATATTGGATCTAGAAATATGCCACGAAGAGGAAGATATAGAAAGAAAACTCAAAGTCAAAAAAATTCTGATTATAAACAAAATGTTACTCGTACGGAACTGGAAGAAAGGCGAGAAAATGGGCAGGAATGATTCGTAGTAGTATGATATTTTAGCTTTTAAATTATGTTAAGAAACAAGTTCAATAATTTCTGGCTTAGAATAAGATAAAGTGTTTATATAAATTGAAAAATTTATCAAGAACTTTAATTTTGAGGTTCCTCTCTTTTATTTTTTGAACAAGGGCGAAAAAGAAAAAAAAGTTTGTAACTATACAAGTATAGAAAGATAGAAAGATAGAAAGAAAGATCTTTGAAAGATAGAAAGATTTTTGGATAAAACTATATCCTCTACAAAAATGTCAAGTATTTTGGAGATACTTTTATATAAATTTTACAGTAATGCCTGAAGTCAGAAATTTGAAAAAATTTCATAAATTGGTAAACGTGGATTATGTAGCTTATTTTGTCTAGCCGTGGAGTGGTAGTAAATTATTCATTCTTTTACTAACTTTTTTATAGTGTTCTAATCATCAAACTTTTGTCTGTAAAGTAGATTTAGTCGTGTAATCAACAAAGAGAAGTAGTTAGAAAGTGTTTTGTACTGAAAAATAAAGGTGTCAAGGTTTTGTATTTTCAGTTCATTTACTACATAACTAGTATAAACATCGTACTTGGAATAAATGTATTATATGTTTAAATGTCTTGCAACCTTCAGTGCTTGATGTGTACTTCAGTTACTAATGAAAGGAATTTTATGACTTGTTATTTATTGTCCGAATCAGAATCATCATTTCTCTTATGTGACATTTAAACATATATAATTTGGGATTTTGAATAGCTTCGATATTTGCAAATAATAAGAAAATGATATGCAATCTTTTGAAATGTATCAGAAAGTTTTCGGAAGCATTTTTAGCAAAATTATCCAATATTATAGCTTTAAATAATTCTAGCACACTTAAGTTTTTTTACAGTTATTGAGGTAGTAATTTCTAAAACGTAATTATTTCCAAAACATGCAGTTGCTTTGCAGAATATTAGTGAGATGAATTATAAACAGTTACTTTTGTATATCATAAGAATGCAAAGGAAGCGAAATGTCGTAAAGGAGAGTTATGGGAAGTAGTGTTGTGATGATAGGTAATAACATTTTTTTTAAATACACGGGATTATAGTAATTGCGGTATTTGGGATACTGAAGGTATTATCGGTATATTGCTTTATTGTCCAGAAACAGATGGGTTACACACTGTATACATTTTAGAAGGTTGCAAACTGGGGATCTCTCTTTTATGTATGTGGTGATTTTCAGAAGTTTTCATAAAGTGAGGGCTGGTCAGACTAGTTTAATACCAGTTTTAATAAGGAACCTGTGTTATATAACCACATAGTTCTAAAAGTCATATTAATTGAACCTATCTACTTTGTTTGGAAATCCATATTTCGGGATTCTGCTCTGCAAAATTTCCTGTATGCCAATTTCGCTGAGTTTAAATATACTGTTTTTCAGATTGTAGAATTAGTAATGAGTTTAGAAAATGAATCATGTATCTGTGATGATTACTTGAAGGACATATTTAGCAAAACTTTTTGCTATCCATTTCGTGTATGTACTTTTTATTCCTGAATTAAGCTAATATTATAGGTTAAATGTGGTTGTGAAGATTTATTCACCTAACGGAAGCTGACTGTTCCACTTTCATCTCCCAACGCAGTATATAGTTATAGTTGTGTTGGTCGGTTGGTCGGTCGACTAATAGTCAGGTTTGGTTTTCTTTTCTTATCAATTCCTATCATTGCCGTCCTTAGTATACACTGTTGGAATGTATTTTATATCTTCATCGACATATACTGTTACAGTTGCACAAATAACAGTAGTAGTTTTATCTTTATTTGTACGTACTGATCAACGAGACCTGTGATATAATTTTTAATTTTTCTGGAATAGAACTTGTATTTTTGTTTTGTTTACAACGTTTGAGTGCTAGAAGAAATATTTTTTTCAGCTTGTCTCATTCTTTACTTTCATTTTGTTCAGTAATTTATTTTTATTTTTATATCCACTATTCGCTCTTCTTTGTCACTCATTGTGATTCTACTCACTACAAAGTAGAATTTCTGAGAAACAAAGTAGTAAATTTGTTGTGCTGAAGAGGAGTCAGAGTTGGAGGGTTTGGGTCTCGGTCAGTGAAATGTTTAGATTAGTTTTGAAATACTAGAAGATTAACCGCTGCTTTGGAAAGGCACTACTGCCCCAAGTGGGGAAGCTTTCTTTATTTGCCAAACTGCAGAATTCACTTTACTTTCGATTGTTTCATTCCACGTTCTCATCATTTATGTTTTCCACTGTGTAAGAGTGCTCTTTATACCAAAATGAATAATCTTTTTATTGCACTTCGCATATGTAACCTTAATAAGCCTTCAGGAGTTCGAAGCTTTCATTTCATTTTGTTTTTCCTTGGTAAATTGCTGCACTTTCTACTCTTACTAGATTAACTGTGTTAGAATCTTTTACTGATAAGTAAGATCAAGCTGATCTGCTGGAATTTAGTATCGCTATTACGTTCATCATTGATCCTATCATATGATTTGTTTTCTTCTATATATTTTCTGTTTTTTTCATCATTGTGATCAAAACTTGTTGTTATCAACATTAAATTGTTGAAAGGAATTTCCAGTCATCGAAAATTAATACTAATATTAATTGCCTGAGACATGTTAGTAGTGATGATGATGATGATGATGGAATACAACAGTTGAGGAGTATGACAGATGTAAGGAGGTAGCATTGTTATTCTTGATTGAGGTCATGGTTGTTTTCTGTTAGCTACTTCCAAGAGAAACCAGTTGTAGATGTACGAAGAAAAAGTGAAGAGTGTTGAGATCTGCGATCATTGTTGCTGGGGAATGAAACGATTCACTAGTCAAACATTTGTTTCTTTCTGTACTTATCTAATAAACTAACATTATCATTCTTGATATAGTCAGTACTTAGCCCCTTTTCCACCTCATTAGCTTAATCTGAGTTATCCCTGATTAATTATTAAGATAAATTTTTTTTTTTTTTTTACTTGTCATTAGTGTAAAACATATATGCTTATGCTCCAAATCATTATATAGTAGTATGCGATAATTATACTGCAAGATTGGTGATGTATGTGTTTATTTACTGACGTGTTTTCTGTAATAAAATTAAAAATATTGTAAATTTCATGCAGTGTGAAGTAGTATAATGGTGTGGTGAGTCACTCTGTAGACACTATACTCAAACAATACTTGAACAGTGAGTCACTGATGGTTAGATTAGTAACTTATCATTAGAATGAATAAATCATAATGGCAACATTGTATGCTGATCTCATGTTTTCATTATTTTAGATGCATGGTAGTAAATTTATACTGCAGTGAGTTATTGTTGTGGATGAGCTTTCGAATTCTGTTTGGCATTGTTGTTTTATCGCTGGTTTTCACTTGTAATGATTTGAAAATAGATTAAAGTATCGTTTGTTCTCTTGCTGCATAGACATTAGTATGAAAAACCATTCAAACACTGTAGTTTAGTTTACTAATATTACTAACAATTTAATTACTCAGTTGATCAATATATTATGTGATTCAATAATATACATGATTGCGTTGTGTAATTATTGTGTTGTTGAGAAAGTAAAAGTTTGGCGTACACCAGGAAATTGCGATCTGCAAGGTTACGGATATTACTTGCTTCTTTTGCTCAAAGTAGTCGGTTGTCAGATCCTTCTGTTGAATTTCCTTCGCGTCTAATCGAAATCGCAGAAGTAACTAAAAAGGCTAAAACGTTAGCAAAATTTCTACAAAGTCTTTATTTGTTGCTCTCAAATTCTTTCTACTCTGCATTGAGTAAACGATCATTTTCTTTTCTATATGAACTATTCACATGACATAATATGTATTAATTAGCTAGATATCATTTGCATATACTTGATTGAATACATGGATGGATATGTGGTTCGATCACGATCAACATGGCAACATGGAGCAGTAGTAAGTATAAATTCATGTAAACTTTCGAAATATCTATGCAGGCTTATCGTTCAGTAAATTTTATTCTAAATTTCTGGTAATAAAGTGAAGGTCATCTTGTAGCACATGATGTTATTGCTACATCAATCCTACAATCCAGTTATGTTTGCATTCTTGCAAAACCCAGCAGAGCATCTCTTCCGCACTTTGAGAAACTCCTTTTTGAAAAAATGCTATGAACTTTCTGTACTTAAAAATGAATTAAAGTAAGTGCATCCCACATGGACTGCAATAGACTCTTTGTCACATTAATACTCGTGTTTCTACTTCAACTTTAATCGTTTATAATTTGATTGCTTTCATGTTAATATCACTAATCTCTTTCTCTGCACCACTATCTCACATCAGATGCTTGAATCACCGAACAAAAAGGTTAGTTAAACTCACTGTGTGTAAGGTTATGCAGTCCCCCTCATAACCGTCCACACCTCAAAATATTGGATGAAGTTGCTTTTCAGAGAGCGGAAGGGTGAAAATATCACACTATGCTAGAATTTTTATTCCATCATTATTTAAGCGAACAAAAAGTTAAAA